AAATGAATTTATATCAACTAAAAATACTAAGATGTAAAATTTAATCGATTCATTTTCGTTTTAATCGATTTAAATTCTGTTATCATTTTTTTAATCTCATTCTGTATAAAACTAATCGATTCTTTTATGAAATAATCGATTAATTCATCATAGCAGTTCAAACCAAATATTAAATATCAAATTAATAAGTAGGTTAATCGATTAATTAGGTTCTGAAATTAAGTTTTATAACATCCAATTGAAGATTGGTAAACGAATTCAAGTCAAAAACCCAGTTTTTATGATAATCAAAATCTGCATAATTTCTTTGACCAAGTCAAACATATTCTCAAGATCAGTTTAGTTGATTCACCCAATGGCCAGAAATCTGTGTTTTTGTTCTTTTGTAAAGGGGACAATTGCAGTTAAAACTGAAACATTGCAGTTTTGTCTCTTTGGATTTAAAAAATTTGAAATCCGTTTGAAATCCTTGGATTCACTATAGTATACATTAGAGAATTTAGTTTCTTTCATTACTGCTTTGAATAGCGGCTAGACAATCATGAATAATACCGAATGAGTCTCGGACATGTCTGATTCAAGTAGTCTGTTATGGAATATTCAATTTCATTTCAATGGCACAAATTTTCTTGATTGGAAAGCGAAGGCTGAACAAATCTTTGAATTGGAAACTAGACTAGTGGAATAATGTGGGAAAGTTATTATTGTTATCCATGAATGGAAAAGTTTTTTATTTTGACAACAACATAGACATGATTCAAGTTGTAGATGTCTACATTTCTCTTAATACTTTACATGGAATGCTGCGTGGTAATACGTTACAAATCAAAGGAAACTGCCTTCCCTCAATGAAGGCAAATTTCGTGACGAATACGATGCTTTTTGATGCCCATGATAATAGTGATGTATGAAATAAGTATGGATATGGTTATTGACCGGGAAGTCCTGGATTGCTGTCATCACTAGTTCTGTTTTGTATGCATGTGTTCCAGTATATGATACCACTGCAAACAACAAAGTTGAAGAAAATTCATTCCTCAGAGATGATGATGACTGATCCATTTGAAGGGAAGAATAACACGCCATCATTTTCCTTCATACTACATTGAGAATGTAGTTATTTGCTTGGATGGTGATAACTCAGTGGGTTCATAATAGGAAAAGCAGTTGTTGGTGTCTCAATGATTGATAAAACAAAATTGGTTTCAGCAAAAAGTGAAGCCTATGGCCTTTTAAAGTTGGTAGGGATCAAATGACTGAGTCATGAATTTTGATATCTGACACAAATAATCAGGGAAGTATGGATAAAAAGGGTCCCTTCTTACCTTATATCTTATATCTTATTGCTTTTTTATGCTTATTTTTTTGGGTCTGTAATATTACTGGTTATATACCAGGCACATTTGCTTTAACTTTGACTGATATAATATAGGTTTTAATTTGGATAAAAACTAACATAGATAGAAATGTCATAGTTTTCAAATCTGAATGTTTTAATCAATAAAAACATCTTTTAAATCGATTAAATGAATTTATATAACATTTTTCATTAATGTTTTAATCGATTAAAAGTCGAAATATTCGATTAATTTCACTAAAGTTTCATGTTTTCAAATTCTTAAATGTTTTAATCGATTAAACCTTTCTTTCAATCGATTAAAATCATTACCAAAAACATTTTAATCGATTTTGTTCTATTTTTAATCGATTCTTATTCTGGAAAGAAAAATTAAAGGCTTTAGTTAATGGCTGTTCCTGTAACATGCTACTAAAGTGTGATTCCCTTATCTTTACACGTGTTAATTGTATTCATTACAAACATGTTAATGAAGATAAGTTTGAATAAACTTTAATTGATCTTTACATGAGTAAAGTATTGATTTCTTTTTATTTTCAAAAACTCAAACTGTTGAAAACATTTGCATTTCATTATTTCTCTTCTGTTCCCTATTTTTGATGAAGTCAAAAAGGGGAGAAATAGTTGCTTAACTTTAGGATCAATTTAGAGAAATAACTCTCACATTAAGGAAGCATCATTTTAGGGGGAGAAATAAGTTTTAGGGGGAGAAATAGGACATTAATACATTTGTTAATTTCTCACTAAACTGTATTATCAAGTGACTTCTCTTGCAGAGTTTTTTTTTTCAAAATGGTGTTTGTCTTCATCAAATAGGGGGAGACTGAAAGTGATGAAGATCTTATTGAAATACATTAACAAAGATCTCATTGATTTGATGAAGTCAAAGATGAATTCAAAAGACTACTTTGCAGTGGTCAACAAGTCACTCAGATAAAAGAGTTAGAGGATTAGTGTGTCTAACAGAATGCTTAGGTAAAACCACTTTATCTTTTCTGTTGCATGAAGTTTCTTCACTTAAATGATTTTGCAAAATGCCTCTAAAATCATTTTAAACAATTAAAAACAAAGCATTTTGACAAAAGCTTTCTTAATAATGTTTTTAACTGATATAGTTTTGAAAGAACCGATTAAAATCACTTAGAATGTTCAAAGAAGTGTTTTTACAGTATTTTAATCGATACAAATTGCTTTTAATCGATTAAAACCTTTTAGAACCCATTATGACCGATCAAATTTGAAACATGAGCGATCAGAATTTATTTCAATCGATTAAAACACGTTTCAATCGATTAAAATCACTTAAAGGGTCAGAATGATCGATCAGAATGCAGTTATGACCGATCAGATTTGATTATGATCGATCAGAATTGAATTATGACCGATCAGATCTGTTTCAATCGATTAAAACGCATTTCAACCGATTAAAACAACTTGGAAAAATTTTGTACAGAGTTTTAATCGATTAAAACCTATGGTTTATCAGTTAAAATAACTTGAAAAGTTTTATAAGAAAGTTTGCAGTATTTCAATCGATTAAAACGCTAAAGAATCGATTGAATTAACTTAGAAGATTTTTTGTAAAGTGTTTTAACTGATATAAACGTTGTTGTATCAGTTAAAACAAATCTGTTAAAGAATCAAGAACGTATTAATGGATTGAAAGGACTTTTAACAGATTGAAACGGCTATTTCAACATATTAAAACAAACTTTTAACAGATTAATTAATGCAGCAGTTTTGAAAATCTTCTATAAAAACAGAGTTGCTTGAACTTTTTAAACATACTTTGAACATCAGTTTTTACACATCCTTGAGCAATCATTCAAGCAAACCTTAGCACTCTTTTCAAGAAAGATTCGCAACAATTTTTTAGATGTTCTTTTGAAAATCTTTCTTGAGGCAACTTGCATTCTTTAGAAGAAGAAACTCTCTGCAGATTTCGATAAACTAGTTTGAGCTTTCTAGTTTCTTCTTTGTCAATTCTTTTTCATTCTTTTGTATTGTGTTGTGCCTGGAATTTGGGCACAAGTTTCTCTCATAGTCTGGAAGTTGGTTGTAGAGGTTATCAAGAACTGGAATTTGGTTCTTGGTGAGAGGTTAGGTGTTGGTGCCTGGAATTTGGGCACTCGGTTTCTCTACAGCTGGAATTTGGTTGTAGAGGTTATCAAGAGCTGGAATTTGGTTCTTGGTGGAGAGGTTAAGTGCAGGAACTGGAATTTGGTTCTTGTGAAAGATTAGGTGTAAGATTGTTGAATCGTAGAAACATTTAATCTAGTGGAACCCAGCTGGAATTTGGTCGGAGACTGGACGTAGCCCTGGTATTGGGTGAACCAAGTATAAAATACCTGGTGATATCTTTCTTAACCTTTCTCTCCTTTAAATTCAGTTGTTGCGCTTATTTTGATTGATTGCTTTGTGATTCAAGAACAGATCTTTAAACTTAATTTTTGAATTAGATAATCTGTTATTTGCGAAAAACTTTCAAAGATCAATTCACCCCCCCTCTTGATCTAAAACTACTTTTCTAACAAAAAGTATCACTTTTTACGTCACGCACCCCCACGTGACGTAAAAAGTATCACTTTATGTCGCGCACACCCCACGCGACTTAAAAAGCTCTTTTTACGTCACGCTGTACCAGGTGCGACGTAAAAGAGGTTTTTAACGTCACCTCCTACAATATGTGACGTAAAAGTTTCACCTCTTATTTACAAAATTGTCACCGCGTTTTATTTACGTCAAATATTTTGACATATGACGACAATTGGGTGACGTAAAATGTCATTTTTGCACTAGTGCATGTACATCAATTAACTATTTTTGTTGGTAGATAAGAAAAATATTTACCCTATTAATAAAATTATTTAAAATTAGTATGATTAGTACAAATAAAAATTATAAAAGAAGTATAATATAAAATAATTTACACCAAGAATATATTTTGATTAAATTAATAAGAGTAACATTAATAATTTTATATATTTTTTATTAAAATCTTCTTAAAATAACATTTATTATTCATGTTAATAATATATATTAAATATAAACTCTAAATCCTAAATTTATAAATCTAAAACTAAATTTAGACAATATATAATATATTTAATTAAATTATTTATAATATACATTAATTATTGAAATAAAATACAATTGCGAGTTAACATCAATCGATGTAAGATTTGTATTGTCTAAAATGTTTTCTTATAAATTAGAGAGATATTCATCTTAAAATTTATTAATTAAAAAAATATATTAAATTTACTAATGGTGTTGCAAAATATTTTTTCTTTAATATGTTCAAATAAATATAAAGGACATCAACAAAAAGAGAGAATATAGTTAATAAATTAATTGAATTTGAAAAGTGAAAGACCCTCCACTTTCTAATTTGAATATTTTAATTTATATAAGTATTTTACCGTCTCTGCTAATATATATAAAATACGTATTATCAATTCTTTTTCTCTCAAATATTCTAATAATTAATACAAGTTATTATTATTATTATTATTATTATTATATATATATATATATATATATATATATATTATAAAAAGATTACAAAGGACTAGATAAATAATAAATAAATAAAAATGGCAAATTAAATTTAGATTTCACACTCACTATTTTGTAAGATCAGCTCTATGATCACTTCAACGTGGTTGCCCAAGTCGTTTCCATTAGAATTTGCAGGGACTCTTCAACTCAGAAATCCCTCGGTTACGGCTACGTCTATTTCAGTAACGTTCAGAATGGTTAGTTTCTTCTTGCATTCGTAAGATTGGTCACTTGTGTTCTTGGGTTGATACAATTCTTGGCGTTTGTTCTTGCATAGGATTGATCTTCGCTTTTTTTGTTGCATTGCTCGGTGTAGTTGCTTTATAGTTCTTGCATTGATAGGACTAATGGTGGATGTTGTCGTTTATGACTATTTTAACGTTCATCACAAATCGTAACTATTATGCAGCCGCAAAAGCATTGTATGAGCTAAATTTCAGTGTGTTGAAAGGCAAACCCATTAGGGTAATGTACTCTAATCGGGACCCTACTCTTCGTAGGACTGGTGCAGCTAACCTTTTTATAAAGGTGCCTTTTGCAGATTCTTCCCCCTTGATGAGTATTATTGAATCTTTTTCTGCTTGCTCATTGAATCTTGTAATTTCTTGATTGATGGTGCAGAATTTGGATAAGTCAATCGATCACAGGGATCTATTCGATGTTTTTGCGACTTTTGGAAATATTCTATCTTGCAAGGTTGCGAGGGATGCTTCTGGCGTGTCTAAAGATCATGCTTTTGTGCAGTATGATAACGAAGACTCTGCAAAAGAGGCTACTGACAGGTTAAATGGCATGCTGCTCAATGATAAGAAGGTCTATGTGGGTCCTTTCATGCGAATGACAGGTTAAATGGCATGCTGCTCAATGATAAGAAGGTTTATGTGGGTCCTTTCATGCGAAAGAAGGATAGAGAGGCTGTTCCTAGTGGTGATGCAAACTTTAGTAATGTTTATGTAAAAAACCTGTCGCATAAAATAACGGATGCTGAGTTGGGGACAAATTTTGGAGAATATGGACCCATTACTAGTGCTGCAGTGATGACAGATGCAGAAGGTAGATCAAAAGGTTTTGGTTTTGTCAATTTCACAAATGCTGCTGCTGCTGCTGCTAGAGCTCGGGACGCTCTTGATGGAAAGACTTTAGATGGTAGGCAGTGGTATGTTGGAAAAGCCCAGAGAAAAACGGAAAGGGAGCTTGAGCTGAAAGAGCGTCATGAGCAGAATTGGAAGCCTCAACCTTATAAGTAAGGTACAAACTTGTATATCAAGAACCTGAACAGTAGTATTGAGGTATTACATCTGATTGAGTCACCAGATGCTCTCGACACAAAAGTTACTGACGCCATGTATTTGTTGAGAAAATTTGAAGAGATCAAACAATCGATCGACCAATTGACTGTCTCTGAATGACAATCCACAGTCTAAGACTCTGTATGTTAGTTTACAGAAATTCAGACAGTCTTATTTTTGTGTTTGTGGCTTTTTCTAGGATTAGTAAACACTCATTGTCGTAGCTTACTAATAGTTGTTTGCTTTCGTTCTCTTTAATACTCTACTCAGTTTGATACTTTTGCCCAAGTTTTCTTTAAAATAAGCGTAGATTTCAGCTTTTAACTGCCTTTTCATGAATAAGCACAACTGAATTGCAGGACTGAAAGAATATGCTGTTGTGGCACGAAAAATCTGTGACGCGACGAAAATGCAGCTAATGTTATTGAGCAATTGAACATAGAGGTGCACATGTCTATCCTATTGCAGGTACGATCCTATTCCACTAATTCTTAATAGTATATCCATATTTTCACCGTAACCCTATTGTGTTTGTGTTTTTTTTTTTATTTGCCTTATGCAGGTCCACATGTACATCTATTGCAGGTAGGATCTTATTCCACCAATACTTATTAATGTTTTTATACTTCCACTGTCATCCTATTGTGTTTTTGTTTGTGTTTCTTTTATGTAGGTTCAAGTGTACATCATATTGCTGGTATGATCCTATTCCACCAATACTTATTAATATGTCTATACATCCCCTATCCTCTTATTATGTTTGTCTTTGTGTTTGTCTTATGCAGGTGCACGTGTACATCCTATTGTAGGAGTGATCCTATTCTATCAATACTTATCAATATATCTATACTTCCATCGTCATCCTATTGTGTTTGTCTTATGTAGGTGCATGTGAACATCCCATTGTAGGTATGATTCTATTCCACCAATACGTGTTAATGTGTATATACTTCCACTGTCATCCTATTGTATTTCTGTTTGTATTTGACTCATGTAGGTGCACGTGTACATCCCATTGCAGGTATGTTCCTACTCCACCAATAGTTACTAATGTTTCTACACGTCCACTATCAACTTATTATGTTCATCTTTGTCTTTGTCTTATGTAGATACAAGTGTACATCCTACTGTAGGTATGATCTCATTTCACCAGTACTTATTAATATGTTTATATATCCACTATCATTCTATTGTGTTTGTGTTTATCTTATATAGTTGCATGTGAAAATTCTACTGTAGGTATGATCCTATTGCACCAATACTTATTAATGTGTATATACTTCCACTATCATCCTATTGTATTTCTGTTTGTGCTTAACTTATGCAAATGATCGTATACAATCTATTACAGGTATGATCCTATTCCACAAATACTTATTAATGTTTCTTTATGTCTACTTTCAACTTATTGTGTTCATCTTTGTGTTTGTCTTATGCACGTGCAAGTGTACATCCTGTTGTAGGTATGGTCCTATTTCACCAATACTTATTAATGTGTCTACACTTCCACTGTCTTTTTATTATGTTTGTCTTATGCAGATGCACATGTACATCCTTTTGAATGTATGATCCTATTCCACCAATATTTACCAATGTGTCTACACTTCCACTGTCATCCTATTGTGTTTATATTTTTTTTATTTGTCTTATCAATGTGCTTGTGTACATCTTATTGCAGGTATGATCCAATTCCACCAACACTTATTAATGTTTCTATACTTCAACTATCAGCGTATTGTGTTTGTGTTTGTCTTATGCAAATGCATGTGTACATCCTAATGCAGGTATGATCCTATTCTACCAATACTTATTAATGTGTCTATACTTTCACTGTCTTCCTATTGTGTTTTCGTTTGCTTTTTTGTTTGCGTTTTCTTTTGTGTTTGATTTGTGTTTGTGTTTTTTTTTTTTGCGTTTGTGTTTGTGTTTGACCTTTTGTTTGTGTTTGTATGATTTTATATGTGTTTATGTTTGTGTTTGTCTGTGCTTATGTTTGTGTGTGTGTTTGTGTTGTTCGCTCAATTTATGCCGAGCTAGTAATTTTACAAACCCCTCAACCCACTATGAGTTAAGTATTTTGGGTCACTCAACCACATTTATTTTCTTTTACTCAATGTTTGTTTTTAATAAGCACAACTGAATTGTAAGAATGAAAGAATATGTTGTTGTGGCACGAAAAATCTGTGACGCGACAAAAATGCAGCTAATGTTGTTGAGCAATTGAACATAGAGGTGCACATGTATATCCTATTGCAGGTATGATCCTATTTCACTAATTCTTAATAGTGTGTCCATATTTTCACTGTAACCCTATTGTGTTTGTGTTTGTGTTTTTTGTTATTTGTCTTATGTAGGTCCACATGTACATCCTCTTGCAGGTATGATCCTATTCCACCTATACTTATTAATGTTTCTATACTTCCAATGTCATCCTATTGTGTTTTTGTTTGCATTTCTTTTATGCAGGTTCAAGTGTAACTCATATTGCTGGTATGATCCTATTCCACAAATACTTATTCATATGTCTATACATCCCGTATCCTCTTATTATGTTTGTCTTTGTGTTTGTCTTTGTGTTTCTCTTATGCAGGTGCACGTGTACATCCTATTGCAGGTGTGATCCTATTCCATCAATACTTATCAATATGTTTATACTTCCATCGTCCTCCTATTGTGTTTGTCTTATGTAGGTGCATGTGAACATCCTATTGTAGGTATGATCCTATTCCACCAATACGTGTTAATGTGTATATACTTTTACTGTCATCCTATTGTATTTCTGTTTGTGTTTGACTCATGTAGGTGGACGTGTACATCCCATTGCAAGTGTTTTTTTATTTGTCTTATCCATGTGCTTGTGTACATCTTATTGCAGGTATGATCCAATTCCACCAATACTTATTAATGTTTCTATACTTCAACTATCGGCATATTGTGTTTGTGTTTGTGTTTGTCTTATGCAAATGCACGTGTACATCCTAATGCAAGTTTGATCCTCTTCTACCAATACTTATTAATGTGTCTATACTTTCACTGTCAACCTATTGTTTTTGCGTTTTCTTTTGTTGTTTGCGTTTTCTTTTGTGTTTGTTTTTGTGTTTGTGTTTTTATTTTTGTTTGTGTGTTTTTTTTTTGCGTTTGTGTTTGACTTTGTCTTTGTGTTTGTGTTTGTATGATTTTATCTGTGTTTATGTTTGTGTTTGTCTGTGCTTATGTTTGTGTGTGTGTGTTTGTGTTGTTCGTTCAATTTATGTCGAGCTAGTAATTTTACAAACCCCTCAACCCACTATGAGTTAAGTATTTTGGGTCACTCAACCACATTTATTTTCTTTTACTCAATGTTTGTTTTTAATAAGCACAACTGAATTGTAAGACTGAAAGAATATGTTGTTGTGGCACGAAAAATCTGTGACGTGACAAAGATGCAGCTAATGTTGTTGAGCAATTGAACATAGAGGTGCACATGTATATCCTATTGCAGGTATGATCCTATTCTACTAATTCTTAATAGTGTGTCCATATTTTCACTGTAACCCTATTGTGTTTGTGTTTGTGTTTTTTGTTATTTGTCTTGTGCAGGTCCACATGTACATCCTCTTGCATGTATGATCCTATTCCACCAATACTTATTAATGTTTCTATACTTCCACTGTCATCCTATTGTGTTTTTGTTTGCGTTTCTTGTATGCAGGTTCAAGTGTACATCATATTGCTGGTATGATCCTATTCCACCAATACATATTAATATGTCTATAAATCCCCCATCCTCTTATTATGTTTGTCTTTGTGTTTGTCTTATGCAGATGCACGTGTACATCCTATTGCAGGTGTGATCCTATTCCATTAATACTTATCAATATGTCTATACTTCCATCGTCATCCTATTGTGTTTGTCTTATGTAGGTACATGTGAACATCCTATTGTAGGTATGATCCTATTCCACCAATACGTGTTAATGTGTATATACTTCCACTGTCATCCTATTGTATTTTTTTTTGTGTTTGACTCATGTAGGTGCACGTGTACATCCCATTGCAGGTATGTTCCTACTCCACCAATAGTTACTAATGTTTCTACACGTCCACTGTCAACTTATTATGTTCATCTTTGTCTTTGTCTTATGTAGTTACATGTGTACATCCTATTGTAGGTATGATCTCATTTCACCAGTACTTATTAATATGTTTATACATCTACTATCATTCTATTGTGTTTGTGTTTATGTTATATAGGTGCATGTGAACATTCTACTATAGGTATGATCCTATTGCACCAATACTTATTAATGTGTATATATTTCCACTATCATCCTATTGTATTTCTGTTTGTGCTTAACTTATGCAAATGATCGTATACAATCTATTACAGGTATGATCCTATTCCACAAATACTTATTAATGTTTCTTTATGTCTACTTTCAACTTATTGTGTTCATCTTTGTGTTTGTCTTATGCAGTTGCAAGTGTACATCCTGTTGTAGGTATGATCCTATTTCACCAATACTTATTAATGTGTCTATACTTCCACTGTCCTCTTGTTATGTTTGTCTTATGCAGATG